GCTACTAGGGGCTCCTGGCATCGCTACTAGTAACAAGAAGCTACTAGGAACAAGTGCATCGCTTCTAGTAACAAGTGCCTTACTAGTAGTAACAAGAAGCTTTAATTTTAATAGCAAACATTGTTACTACTAGTAAGGCACTTGTTACTAGTAGCGTGGCACTTGTTGCTTCTCCTCGGTTCGCCATTAAAGCTGAGAAGCGACCTAATAGCTGCCTCCAACCGATACTGCAACATATGACTGTGCAGCTTGGCCTAAGGTTAGATCCAGACGAAGCTTTGAATTTGGAGCTCTTTGAACAGGTGAGCCCTTTCCATGTGGAGCTGTGAGCTGTGAGCTGTGAGCGTCGTGCCGTGGGCTTGAGGTTCTTTGGATCCGAACCGGCTTTGATTTGCTTCAAACATGGGCCGAGCATCTCAGATGGCAAAAGCAAAGGGAAACCGCATAAAAACTGCTATTAGGAGCAAAGGGCATCGCTACTAGGAACAAGGACGCCACTAGGGGCTCCTGGCCTTACTACTAGGAGCAAGGACGCTACTGAGCAAAGGGCATCGCTTTGCGTCTTTGCAATTGGTCGAGGGAACGCTGGATCCTCACAATCAGACTGTCCCAGACTCAGAAGATTCTACCTTTCTTTGAAATATGTGCTCCATCTCCTTAAAAGCTAGTGGGTTGGAGGCCATTGCTACTAGAAACAAAGAAAATGAAAAGGATGCCTTTTTTCTACTTTTCTTTGACCAACTAAGTCCCGTTGTGCGCGGATTTGTGGGTCTGGCCAACCTGCGGGGACCAAGGTGCTGACTTTGCCGGAATTTGTTCGCGGATGCAGGCCCATTTAGCAGACGAGGTTTTGCATTTTGGACGAGTTGCTCATTTGCCAAACACTTGTTGAACATGGATGACATGAATAACATAATCTTAGAACTTAGAGTGAGTCTTGACTGGTTTGACTTACTTCTTTTTAGTAATTCATTTCATTTTTCTTGCCTTTTACTTTTCTTTCACCTTTTTTAAGATCATTTCGGTTTTGATTTGTGGTTCCTTTTTGGTTTCTCAGCAAGCTTTCAGGGCGCTGGGTTTCGAGGGCGATGCTCATCATCTTTTCAAGGGCCAAGCACTCGACTGCATGGTGTGCAGGTGTACTAATATTTTGGAACATATCAAGAATATTCAATAATGCATCAGGTGTTTGTTTTTGTTGTTTCAATTCTCTTTAAACAATGAACAAGGAAAGAAACCACACGGGGGAGAAGGGAACACACAAAATAATGGTATCAAGGGCTCATGTCATTTCTTTTCTTTTCATTAAAAAGCAACATCGTGAGGGGGACTTTATATAGTTGCACTCTAGAATTGCGATCTCCCATGCTGGTCATGTCCAGGCGCAGACTTTTCAAGATCCAAACAGGAGTAATCTTGGAGACTGGTCAAACCTCAGACGCGAGAAGTCTTGGCACAAGCAAGTCTTGTTCCTAGTAGCGATTCACTTGTTCCTAGTAGCTAGTCAGTAAGCAGCTGGGAAGCTCAGCTAGGGATCAAGAAATCAAATAATGTGAGGCCATGAAGGATTCGGGCAGGGCCGCAGGGACAGCCTTGCACTGCAGATTTGCCGACAGTGCTATGGCGGCCAACGAGAGTGACAATGTTGTCACAACAAACAAGCTGATGATCATCCTCAGAAAATTTGACCAGGACATTTGTAGCATGCTGTACTGCTTTTTTGGCCAGACTTATTGGCCATTGTAACAGCTTGCAGATGTTTTTTTGGACTGAAAAATCAGCCATGAACGATTCACTTGTGAGACCAGAAGGCATGCCGTATAGCGACCAGCATTGCATGTTCCATGTTTGCCGATTTTTAAATGTTTGATCCCTCAGCCAGAAATGAAATTACAAGAAATGGAGGTGTGACATGTAGATGTAGGACGCTACTAGGAGCTCCTGGCCTTACTAGGAACAAGGACGCTACTAGACGCGAGGCAAGCTGTTAGACGTGAAGATGTGAAAACGTGATTGTTTCTACCTCTCACCGCCTCTCACCTCTCTTGAATCCTTTCAAACACCTTTTCTTTGGCGAACCTGGTATTGTGTTCAGGAGGGTTCGGGCACGATTTCCAGAAGTCAATTCGAACAGATTCTGCGCACTGTTCTTCGTGCGTCCAGCAATTCTGATGAGATTCTGTACAAAGAAGAGGTGGCCTAGGAGCAAGAAGCTACTAGGGGCTCCTGGCATCGCTACTAGGAGCAAGGACGCTACTAGGGGCTCCTGGCCTTACTACTAGGAGCAATGTTCGCTACTAGTAACAAGGACGCCATTATTGTGAGAGAGAGAGAGAGAGCTGCTGAGGTGGACGAGTTCTGGGCATACTTTTCAAAGCGTGAGGATGGCGACGTTGAGAAAAGTGATTTAGTCGATTGGATCTTGAAACCCAGCACGCCTCTGATGCTTACAGAGTCCGGGAATTTGGCCTTCTTTGACCTCAAATCTGCACTTCAACCTCTTTTCCAGGTGCAGAGCTGTCCTGTGCCTAAAGCTAAAATCATCACAAATCTCATCAAATCTAGCCTTCTGCAATGCTGCTGTTCTTGTGCTGGGCAGGCTTACAACCAGAACGGGGACGGCTTCATCTGCTTGCAGGAGTTCATGGATGCACATGGCATTCTTCAAATCGCATTGCGTATGAACCCCACAGCAGAAGAAGAAGATCCTCCAGTTTTACGAGGAGATCTTCACAACTGTTTTGTGCACATTGGTGATGCTGAAACATAGCTGAGCCTGCTCAACACTGCTGATATTTTTGTTATTTTTCTTTGGACAACATGACATTTCTTTCAATCAACCGCAATGGTTTGCATTCTGTTGCGTGATATTCTCAATCGTAGCTTGTACTTGCTGTTCAACCTGTCTTTGTGATGTTCTCAAACATATCCTTGGTCACTCTAAGGACAAGCGCTTGACGTTTGAGAAATTTGTTCGCTGGCAACGCCTTGCGTTGATTCAATCTGCCTTGTCTCCAGACTCAATGACGAGGCACAGTGGCCACAAAAAGATTTAGTGAGAACATATGAAATTAGAATTATGTAACAATTTTCCTGATTCAAATATAGTGGAGGCCATCGCTAGGAGGTTGGAGGCCGTTGCTACTAGGGTAGAGGCCATCGCTACTAGGTTCCTTTTGCCAGTAGGTTGGAGGCCATGGCTAGTAGGTTGCCCCTCAGCCTGGGCAAAGTCCAATGTTGCCCCGCAGAAGAGTTTTTGAGCAGTGCAGAAAAACGTGAAACCGTGACAAGCAAACGTAGATTCTTTACTGTAGCAGAATGACTAAAGGCCACAAAGAGATATTGGGAAAGCGGGGAAGCGAGATTGAATGCAAGGTAGTGAGGAAAGTAGATCAACAATACAGGAGAGAAGCAGCCAGCCTCTGCGCAGGTGCTTCAAACCTGTATGGGATTTTGGGGAAGCCAATTGAATGCTCCAAACCGATACACGAAACACATCTCTTTTGACCAAACGACACAAAGGAGGGCTTCTTACGCAAGATTTCATGTCGCCGACCACTAGAACAGACCTCCGGCCCTGACTTTCATCTCGAACTCATTTTGCCGAAGCTGCATGCTTTTTGCGAGCACTTTGCGCGAGCATTTTGCGCATCCTGCACACATGCTGCCCCCTTTTTTTGTGGCACCCTTCGCATGCGTTCAAAGTGTGGTTTTGCCTGTGACTCTTCGAGGCTCTCTTTCTGCATTTCTTTGGGGGCTCCTGGCATTATTAGTAGCAAGAAGCTATTAGTAAGAAGAGCAAAGCACCTTACTACTGGAAGCAGGTGTGGGCAGTGCAACCTGCAACTTGCAACCCGCAGTTCTCGATATCTCTTGACCAAACCGGCCTTGCAAACAGACGTGCACGGCTTCAGTTGGTGAAGGAATCCTCCGAAGAAACTGGACTTGTTTGTTTTATAGGACTCTTGGAGCTTTCAAGGTGCCTGGGAGCCTAGCCATAGTCCAGAAGCGGCTCTCTTCTCAAGTGTGCCAGCAGTTGTGTTTTCAATTTTTGGTTGCTGCAGCAACCTGTGTGAAAGTGCGCGAGGCTCCTCAAGAATGTGGCCAAACAAATTCAACGCGACCCTCCTGCAGACATTGTCAAAGAAACAAGTTAGTTTTTGAATTTTGAGGTGTTTATATCTTCGGCTTTACATGAAGTATTCTTCAGCAAGAATGCCTTGGATAACGAATGCATTCGGCATTTTCTGATGTTTGGGTTTTGATCTCAGGTGTCTTTAAGCTTACTTCCGAGAAGCATTGTGAGCTGACCGAGTCAGACAGGTTGGTGCTAATTCGGTTCCTGAGCCGATTTTGGGTGAAACTTTGTTCAGTTTGCAATCCGGGCTCTTCAAGGTTAAGTGTCCCTAATCGAACCAAGTCATTAGTGCGAGCTATCCTGCGCTACCTAGCTACATCTAGCTACCTACCTCTACTAGCGGCCTACCCCCCCTTTGAAAAATGAAGATGTTTTTTTCAGCCCAGGATCCTTTCGCACTTAGCCCAATTCAGCCGTGAGCTGTGGGGAGCTGGTCATTTTGCATCGAAGGGCAAGACCTTCTTCGAAAATAAGTGGATACCTCCGTTCGTGGGAATGAACGTTGACCACCTGAAGGACACGTTTTCGATTTTCGGAAGTAGCAAGGATGCTACTAGGGGCGCTCCTGGCCTTACTACTAGGAACAAGAACGCTACTAGTAACAAGTGCCACGCTAGTAGTAACAAGTGCCTTACTAGTAGTAACATGATGCTACTAGGGGCGCTCCTGGTCTTAGTAACAAGAAACAAAGTCCACAGTCTTCCATAACAGGTCTCATACCCACTCTGAGAACTATCTCCAAACACTCTCAAGCTATCTCAAACTATACCCAGCTCTAACAGGTGCTTCTCAGAAAGGTGCTCCTAGCCACTTCTAGTCACATTCCACCTTCTGGGCATCGCTGCTAGGTGGAGGCCATCGCAAGTAGGTTGGAGGCCATTGCTACTAGGAGCAAGGACGCTATTAGTGCTTTTGGAAAGTTGTTGGAGAATTTGTCTTTGGAAACCGTCGAGCTCGGGTTACTGCCAGTGTTTCTCGACAATACCTTGTTCACATTTGTTCACCACTCGCGACAAAACCAGACAACCTTAGTTGACTAAATTTGTTGCAACGATATGGTTCTATTTGAACCGGTGCGGTGTATTTCTGATCCGAAAACTGAGTAAATATGCTGACGATGTCAAACGATCAGACAAACATACACAACATCACTAAAAGCAGCTATTGCCGGGTGTGGGCAACCATTGGTACCCTTTGACTGTTCCAAGAGTTTGCTAGGAGGTCTTTTTGCATGATTTCAACTACAGCCGCATGCGATTTTCAGCAAAGATTGTGAAGCGCGACTGGGATATCCTTTGCATTCCTGGACTTCCTGGCCGACACCAAGATTGGCTAGCAAGGGCAAGGCTGAAAAACACCTTGAGAAGTGCCAGATTCGATGATGAACGGGGAAAACAAGAAGAGGATCAGCTTGAGGAAGGACACATACGCGAGGTGGTCGATGAGCAGTGTTACATCTTCGATCGGGAACATTTCACATGGGCCTTAGCAGAAGAGAGTCTCTTTGAGAAGGCACTTGAAGCGGAGCACGTAAACAAGAAAGAAGCGAAAAGACAAACAACCTCCAACCTACTAGCGATGGCCTCCAACCTAGAAGCGATGGCCTCCAACCTACTAGCTATTTGCCACTAGAAAAAACATTGGAAGAAAGGCTTCAAGGAAAGAGAGGCACACGCCAATAGCAGTGGGTGTAGAAGTGAGCCGGTTGTCAGTTGTTTGTGATGTCGACGCAGTCCGTTCACTGAGTTGCGAGCCTGAAACTGTTGTTGCGCACTGGGCCTGTTTGGAAACTATGCTAGTTGATTTATGACGATTTCTGCAAGCATGTTGCCTGCTTGTCTTCTTTGTTTCTCTCAGCACGCAGGGCATGTCGCCGGGTGTACCCCTGCCCATTGCGATTCGTCTCCTCTCACGCTCTTGGATGTGCAGTTTTGTGTATCTCGAAATTGTTTGTGGAAGTGCGTGGGTTGTGAAACACCTTGGTAGGGTTGCGTGATGTGAACTTCGAAGTGCAGATTTTGTGGCAGGCACAAGGCTTGGTCGACGTTCAAATGCATAGGGTAGACCTTGCGTGTGTGGTTTCGTACGACCCGTATGTGCGCTTTCATGCGTGTGCTCTCATGTCTCTCCTTTGTATTTGTTTGTATGCTCTCATTTTTGTGTTTCATGGGTGCTCTCATATTCGTTCCGAAAAAAGGGCAGACTAAGATACTAAGTGACTGAACAGGGTCGCTTCAAATCAGCCAAGCAGCAGGCCCTTGGGGTAGTAAGTCAGGAAACGTCTGCTAAGGACATAGCTCGCCGCTCGCCACCAACAACCGTGGGTTGTCTTCATTGGTTGTCTTCATTTTCGTTTGCGGCCGGTCGCAGCGGCGCTCGAAAGGCGGAAGCGCCCGCTAACAGGGAGAACGCACAGCCGAACAGGAAGAGTGCAGACATCAGAGCCAAGCTACAAACAAACTGACAACTTCAAACAGGAACTGTGGATAAACTTGGTTGCACCAGCACCCCGTCAAACTCAGCGGCAACAACCTGAAAGGTGTAAAGGTCCTAGTCACCAAGCCATCACAAACAGCTCATGAGCGTGCTCTTTGCTGTGCAAATGGCCCAGGGTTGTTTAAAGTACTCTACTGACAGGAGCAGTTCTATATCAAAGCTATGGGTGGTTTCTCTCCTCGGTGGCCAGTACATTTGTTGACATGGGAGCTGGCTCCAGACAAACTGCGGTTGCGCCTGCTTTTGCACTCTTTGAGCGTCAGTTCCTCACAAGTTATCCAGTTACTAGTAGCTTCTAGCTAATAGTAGTAATGCCGCAATGCCTTGTTACTAGTAGCGATGCCCTTGCTACTAGTAGCTTCTTGTTACTAGTAGTATGGCCAGGAGCTACTAGTAGCGATGCCCTTGTTGCTAGTAGCTTCTAGCTACTAAATGCCCTTGTTACTACCTTTATTGCTCCCCAGACCTTCGGGAGTTGGGCCAATGCTGGTCTCCATGGCCTGAGCACCCACTATGCTAGCCGCTAGCAAGCTTTTGGGTCACGACGGTCACGACACCTTGCATTTTCATAGTGAGACTCCCTTGGCCCAATGAGGTTTGCAGAAGATACTGCACAGACTCTGAGCTCCACCAACATTACGTTTTGGGTCAGTACCTTCTGGGTGAAGAATGGTCAAATGCCGTTTAATCTTGCCTAGAAACTTCCAATTAGATCCGAGCATGGCTAAGCTTGCAAAAATTGGATTCAATCAACTTTGGCATCTGGCTGCTGCGAAGCCACCCACTTCTAGACAGCTCGCCACGAACGAACCTTCGTTGCCAGACTAGCCTTCGCGGAAGTATCACGAACTTCCCGCGTGAAGGTTCTCGTTGTCCTTAAGCCTTGTTTGCTATCATGTTTCTGCTCCAGTCTAGGCTCGTCTGACTGAGGTTTTTGAGGTTTGCTCTTTGATTCCTAAATGTTCCAGTCTGTTTGTGTGCGTGTGTGTTTGGTTAGGTTTCACCATGTTTACATGTGCAATGGCACGCACTATGAATTGACTTCACTCTGATGACATGTTCATCAAACCTGGTAGTACCTGTTTGTTGTTTGATCTTTACATGCGATTGTTTTGCACTTTAGTTATGTACAGTACATTCTTTTGTCGGTAGGCGTCCCATGCTTGCACATTTATGCATTCCAAACTTCATTGAACAATCAAGCCTCATGAGCCTCATCTAACACCACTCCGATCCAAAGTACAATTGTATATATGTATGAAATAAGAACTTATTTATATATGTAGAAACTGGAAACGCACGAAGTCTTCCAGCAAGTAGGTGAACCGACGATCGAACGTCGAAGCACAAGGGCGACCGACTGGGGCCGCGCGTCCGCGCCTTTTCAGCGTGCTGAGCCCGCCCTCTGCGGACGGATCATGTGGTTTCATGAAACAAAGTGATGTACAGCGTACATCTTCACATGGAGGGAGAACTGTACTGCTCAAAAGCTCTGTACCAATGGTGCACATCGTGTTTGATGCACCAACCCTGTGGGTACAGCATTCGGTCAGGTGGTGGATTCACTCCAGCGCAGTACGGACATCGTCGCATGACGAGCAAATTCTTTTCGGTGATCTGCTCCGTCAAGTGGCATGACTCCAAATGCCAGCACTCGCCTCGCTTCGAGGCATAGATCTCTCGGGTGAAGGGACATCGAGCAGCATGGTCTTCCATCTCCGCTTCAAGGTTGCGGAACAGATCTCGGGCAGCCAAACACAGGTTGCGCAGCGCATCCAATTCCTCTCCTTGGAGTGCCAGCGCCGCACGGGCCTCTAGTGCAGCTTTCTTCGACTCTTCAGCCTGACATAGGCTGTGGTCGTGATCTGCCTGAAGCTTGGTGTTCAGCTGCCTCAGTCTTTGTGGGACTACAGCTTCGTCCTTCTGGGTGGAGACATCGTGTCGTGCCGGTGGAAAAAGGGACTTGGTGCAACGGCCCAAAATGAACATGCCGAGGAGTGCCATGACGTGAACAGCAGCTAAAACCAAAATCCAGAACCATAGGCTGTCTTGTTCTTCTGGTGCTTCGGTTGTGGAACATGTATTGGTTTCACCAGTTGCTGCGACCATCATTGACCACCAAACCACCCATTTGAGGACATTCTTCATGCGACCCGTGTCCATGGCATGCTTGCGGTGAGCGACATGGCTGGCTAGGAACACATACGTGGGAGCGGGGTTGTTCTGTGCAAAGTGGACATACTCACAAAGCTCCGTGTTCTCAGGTTCGCCAGAGTCCTCAAGGGCGTCGAAGAACTCCTGAGTGTTCTTGGTGTCAGGGGGCAACTCATTCTCAATCGTGTGTTCATTCTGAGTGGGCTTGTCAAAGTCCGAGGGTTCCTCTGGCCTGTAGTGCTCGGTGGACTCAGCAATGGCCTTGTGGCGCTCTGCTTTGGTCTTGCGCTTGGCCGCGGTGTACGACGGATCCCATGTCAACTTGATCCTGCCATGTCGTAGCCGAGCTGCCAGCAATGCGCGAGCACTTTCCTTGGTGAACCCGTCACCAAGCTGTCTCTCTGAGGAGACCCACCGAAGGGACCCACCAATGTCCTGCATTCTCTCCTTCATCACACGGATCTCGAGGCTGATCCTCTTGTCGATCACTGATGAACTGATGCCCTCACGATGGTACGAGTCGTAGAGAGCTTTCGCATCCGTGATCAGCTGTGGGGTCAACTGAGACTTGACCTTCAGTAGATCTTGGAGAGGTAGGGCAGGATGAAGCAGGTGCTCCCAAAAGCGACATGCGAACTCAGTGGCGTCCGCCGCTTGGCCTCCAGCTTGGGCTTCTGCTCCTAAGGAACTTCGGGCCACCCTGGGTGTTCGGAAGCTGCGCCAGTCAAGGATGTGATACTGGCCTTCCTCGGATGATGTCAGCAAGGCCTTGTTCACCAACATGATCACATAGCCACCTTGGGAATTGCCATCCGGCCTTGAACCAAAACCAGCATCGAAGAACGTGATCATCTGGAGCTGTTGCGGCTCACCGATGTGGTTGTAGATGAGCCCGACATCCTTGTTCTCTTTGCAGAACTTCAGTAGGCGGTTGCACTCATGAAGTGTGTGCACCGTTGCTTTATTGACCTGGCTGGATAGCATGGACGTAGAGCACTGCGAATGCGGTGAAGTTTGCACTGCTGGCCATTGAACGGAACCAAGTAGGCCACGGACCTGAGTGATCTCTCGCTCATTGAGGGCCTCAGTCAAGGCTCTGCCCTTGTTGAAGGTGATGGGGCTGACCTTTCCCATGTAGGCCTCTTGATGAAGCCGGCGGCCACCTTCCTCGGTCTTTGTGAGCTCGCAATGACAGTATTCGAGCTTGTCGAGGTCCTGTTTCCACTCCCGGAAGGAGAAGGTGTCTTTGAGAGTGCGAACGACCTCTTGGTACCGAGGAGAATCCAAGCAGCCACTGCCCAACATGTCGTCCACGTGCATGATGATCATACCGACCAACCGCTCATCACCTAGGCTTTGAACATTTTGATGCACAGGATCTTGGGCGTCATAGTTTGGGCTGTCAGTCTCGAAGGCCAGGAAGCAGCATGGGTCCAATGGATGCTGTCGGAGTCCAGCACGTAGCAGCCTGTCGACTGCTTCCAAGAACCAGCCACGAGGTGCGTCTATCTGACCATAGCATGGTTTGAGCAACAACATTCTTGTGTCTTCATCGGCGCCGAGGAGCTGAAGACATTCTGTTGGCAGTTTGACCCATAGTTTTCGGCTTTGTGTCCGACCCTGGAGGAAGGCCGTGGAGACGTCAAGCGTCCACGTTGACCAACCCATGTTGGCTGCCAGAGACAGAATGTAGCTTCGGCTCAACCTGGTGGTTGTCGGCGATGAGGTGACGATCTGGCCTGCCAAGGCATCGGGGTCGTTGTAGCCTCTGACTATCAATCGGGCCTTCGCCCTTGGTGAGCCGTCAGGATTCTTGGACCATTTCAGGATCATCCTCGCTGTCAGGGTGCGAGTCTCATCGG